CTGAGCGTAGGACACGATTTCAGTTTTCATAAGCATGCTCATCGATTCTGTTACAATTAACAACATGTTGGGCTGTGCTTTTTTCAAGCAACCAGAAGTCTGCCGTTACTGCCACCAGCTACATTATCACTTGATGTAGTGTCTTGACAACCCTCCCCATCCCCACAGCACATACATTTGTTAGGGAACTGACCCCTCCCCATCCCAGTTTTCTCTCAGTGTGTTTGTATGGGTGTGTGTTTGCTTGTGTGTCTGTGTTCATATGTTTGTGTACGTGCTTGCTAGGTGTGTGTGTGTGTGTGTGTGTCGGTGCCCATTCCGGTTGGTGTATTAAAAATATGGATGTACGACTAAATGTTCCTTGTATATTCAGTGTACCAGTGGCAACCAGTGTACCGGTGGTCATGGACTTGCACTTACTTAATTTGTTTACTAGAAGCAAAGCGTAAAGGGAATATTGTATTAGAACAGGAGAAGATAACTATAAAGGGATAATGGGAAAATCTACTCCTTGAACCTATCTCGACTCCATACTTATAAGAGCTTCAATGTCATGGTAAGTGTAACCTAAACCCAGACTTTGGCTGCCTCAGTAACAAGAAAAAAAAAATTATAAAAATAGTTCGTTAGGCGGAGGCTAAGACCATAATGTCTTACCCTGATAGGAAATGTTCTGTATAATGTCTAATCAGCAGTAACAGTTAAACTAAACACACTAAACTATAAACCCTAATCCCAATCAAAACAAGTGGAACCATCATTATCACACTGAACACTTACTTATTTTATCGAAGCACAAAATCAATTTTGTTTCGCAGATAATATTACATTAACAATTAACCCCATGTCCACACACACACCACGTGCTAAGCACTTCATCCTACAAAAGTGGAAATTCGCTCCTAGCGACACAAAATCAAAAATCTCTGAGTGATGATAAAAACTGAAATATCTAGCTCTAAACAGTTTAACTACTGGAGACATATTCAGATTTAACTATGATGGAAATTCATATATAACCATAGACATACTAGAGTCATGAAATAAATCGGCCTACCGTTGCTCGATCGCCCGAATCCACGCTGCTAAGCCCATGTGCGTGCAGTCGCCGCTGGGTGGAATCTCTTGTCCCCGTGCGACCGGCGCGGCCAGAATGCGGAAAGCCGAATAGGCAGTTTTCCAATTCCCAATTCCAATTCATCCAAAAAAAAATTCCAAATTTGATCCTCTTTCAGCCGCCCGGAGGCCTGCTATATCGAAGAAGGTTCCTTAGCTGTCTTATATGGTTTCCTTTTATATGTGGTGTGTAGTCACACCTGATATTACGGTTGTTTGCTTCCTTGCTGTGCCGTGGTCATTGTGGTTTTTGGTTCTGGTGTGGTCCAGATCTCTTTGTGATGATATCGACGGGGTACTAGCTGACTGTTGCTGGTGCTTGGCTTGCCTCGTGCTGGTCGCTGTGCTGGTGCCCTGTTGCTGCTTGGTTGCCGATCACGTCGTCTATGAACTGTAAGTCGCCTTTCCGCCGGGTCACAAAAAGCCAAACAAACATCGGATCACAGCTAGGTCGTCATGAACAATGTTCCCTTTCAGGACAACCAGGGCCGTCACAATCTGTTGTTGTGATCAGCCCGCCCCCCCCCCCACCCACGGAGTGTGGAGACTTTATTGTGGTATTCCTTGGCTGTTTGTTGTTCCCGGGGGTAAGATAGACTGCAAATGAGAGATCAAATTTGCTCGAATGTGCCAGGCAGTTTTCAGGATGCGTTGGCCTTTTATCAACTCTTGATCTCCTGCGTGCCAGATTTTTCCAGTAAGTGGAGCTAGACAAATAAATCATTACCGGCATTGGAAACCGGCTACATTTGTATCCACGAGGAGCGGCTGGCCGAGCGGTTATAACGTCTGGCTTTCACGAAAGAGACCCGGGTTTGACCTCCTCTAAGGTGATGGAGTTTCTCTGTCAGGGACAAAATTAAACATCCTAACCTGTACAGTCCCTGGCGACGGCACTAGCCAGGCGGCCCGAAGTCCTCAGGCTCATGGCACACCCTTCCCCCCCCCCCCCCCCCCCCACATTCTTGCCTAAACCCCCTAAAAATGGGTAAAACAGTCAGTAGTAACAGTAACAGTATTTTTTAACCCTTGAATATTTTTTCAGAGCTTTCCTTTCACGCACTTTCTGTTTTGTGTTTGTGCTTACCTAGGGAGGAACATCTTTTCTGCAGTGAGCATCAAAATAGTGGCCCCGGGAACCGACATTAATTCAGTGAGAGATCAATAAAGCCATGATCTTAGATGAAAGTATTGCCATCAAAAGAGAACCATCCTTTCCAGACGTAAATGCGCCTTATGATCCAGAAATTTGCAGCAGTCGTATACATCTCAAAGAAGCCATTGCCAGAAACATCCGCGTCCCTGGGTCTTTGAGAGTCTTCCGGCTGTTTTTGGCCAAGTTTACAGCGCCAAAATTTACATCGGCAACGATTACATTAGTAACATCAGCAGCGGGGTCCTCAATTTCTACAGAAACAATACCATTCTTACATTTGATGCAGGTGAGATTCATGTTGTATTGTTGCTAGAAACAGAGAGGTATTGAGCCAGACATAGTAATGCACCAGCACCAAGGCTCATACTGATCTAGACCTATCTACACCTCTCGGGGCTTTATTAATATCCTACCCCAACAGGGAAAATCCACAGGTCACGGGGCAGTCTAATATTTCAGGGGGTGGTGGATAGGCTGTATTCAGTCGTGGGACTTAGGCTGCACTCTATCGTGGGACGTAGGTAGGTTGGGGTTAGGGTCAGTTCTAGATGTTCTGGGGTGGTTTAAAAGCATCAGATAGCAGGGAAACCCAGTCTTATCACCCTCTAAAATGTTGGACTGTCCCTATGACGTTATCTGGGTGTAGGATGATCACAGAAACAAGCTCCCTGTCTAGGCGAAGACAGGATCGACGTTTCCTTCCAAGGCGGAATGCTTATGCCTGAGAGGCAAGGAACCAACGAATAAGCCACACCCGTTAGGATGGGACGTGCATACGCAATACTCGAATCCTGGAACAAGACCAGAGTCCAGAAGTGGTCAGACCGCTAGGATTTTCCCGCCGAAATTTACAACTGGTGAAGGCTAATAATAATAATAATAATAATAATAATAATAATAATAATAATAATAATAATAATAGGAAGAAGAAGAAGAAGAGGAAAAAGAAGAGGAGGGGGAGGAGGAAGAAGAAGAAGAAGAGAAGAAGACGAAGAAGAGGAGGAGGAAGAAGAAGTCAAAGAAGAAGAAGAAGAGGAGAAGGAAGAAGAAGAAGAAAAAGAAGAAGAAGAAGAAGCAGAAGAAGAAGAAGAAGAAGAAGAAGGAGGAGGAGAAGAAGAAACAGCAGCAGCAGTAGAAGAAGAAGAAGAAGAAGAAGAAGAAGAAGAAGAAGAAGAAGAAGAAGAAGAAGAAGAAGAAGAAGAAGAAGAAGAAGAAGAAGAACAAGAACAAGAACAAGAAGAAGCAAACGCAGCAGAAGAAGACGAAGAAGAAGAAGAAGAAGAAGAAGAAGAAGAAGAAGAAGAAGAAGAAGAAGAAGAAGAAGAAGAAGAAGAAGAAGCAGAAGAAGAAGAACAAGAAAAACAAGAAGAAGAAGAAGAAGATTAAGAAAAAGACATTATTTAACTCCGTCATGAGCTCCGGTATAGAAGTTGCTAGAAAATTGCCTGCAGCCTCAATGGTCTCTTTGTATAAATGGTCTGAGATCCCCCCTAAATTAGTGCACGGAAATTTTCTGGGAAGTAAAAGCAGCCAGCTTGATTTTGACAACATTGCATTCTGATTAGCTAATTGTTTATAAACTATTTCTGACACGAGGCTTGATGTTTCCATGGTTTAATGAAAAGTAGCTACTAAAAATGGTACTTATTCTCAGTTCCAGAAGGTTCTATAGCAGGTGCTAAGCTTCACAGACTGTATAATCCGGTAGAATGACCTGGTTGTTCGTCCACTTCTGAACATTGGTCTTGTTTCGGAACGTGAGGTTTGCGTGCACATCCCTTTTACAGATTTGCCTTATCTGTTTGCAGACTGTTGGTTCCTCGCGTCTCAGACATATGCACCCCTACTTCGAAGGATTCACCAATAATTTGTCGCCTTTTACGACATGCTGGTTATAGCAGATTTTCACAGGAGGAATTATTAATAATCGTGTTTGGAAAGTTATTGGGGATTGTTTTCTCAGAAAAGTATTTGGAAGCGGTGGTGATGCTTTGCTGGGAACACCTTAACCAGAAATCGCCGACTTTAACCTTTAAGCTGTAGGTGATAATTGTGACTAGGTTAAAGATAGGACATGCCCGGCTCTCTAGCGTAGTTGGCTAAACCGGATTGCGCGGAGACTGGGTGACGAACTCCTTGTGGTCCGGGTTCAATCCCGGTGGTAGGCAGGAAAGCCACATTTTCTTCCAGATTTACGGTATTTACCATGGAATCAAGGCCGAAAGGTTGCGATATCCCTAATACCGAGCCTAAGGGTTAACAACTCATGGCTTCTGGATACTAAAAAAAAAAAAAAAATAGGACATCTTGGCTTGAGTTGTTTGAGCGTCTATGCTCCATTGAGAGATAAAGACCAGCACACAAAAATATTGAGGTAAAGTAATCTCTCCAACTTCATGTTGTTTCTGTAATTTATTATGTGCTTTCTGTCTTAGTCAAGGTTTCAAGTTCAATGCAGTCAGGTCACCCCATACTTGTCCCGTTCCTGTGCCAATGAAAATCAGATAAAATTTCCCTTGCTGACCCATTTAAAAACTGGTGAAAAAACAATTAGTCCCGGCACAATTTAGAAATGCGCACGCAGTAAATGCAGATGACAGATGCTATAGGTTCCAAAGCTAACAGTCGCCATTTGTCATTGATATGCTTTCTGCTCTGTATCAGTTAACTTGCACATAATTTGTAAACAATGTATTCTTCTGTTAAATGCACTATCACCAGGAGCTCCATGAGTCGCGTGTTATGCCACCTGATTCCGTCTAAGTTTGTCCGCAAAGAACTGCTGAAAGAATTCAACGCCAATCGTTTCTGGTTAAACCATTACGAATTTGTAGATTTTACAGTGTTTGAGGTAATGGTTGTTTGTTTGGGAGCTCTATTTATGTGAATGGCTGGTGATAGCTCTGTTCTATTTGAAGTAGTTGTTGATGTTTGTGAGAACTCTCTTCGTGGTAATGGTTGATGTTTGTGAGAGCTCTGTTTAAGTTTGTTTGGTTGTGAGCGCTCTATTTGAGTAAATTCTGTTCGAAGTCTGAAGTAATCTGTTTTGAGCTCTATTTTTAATGGTTAATGTTTGGTGTTTGTGAGCGCTCTATTTGAGGTAATGATTGGCGAGAACTCCGTTCTGTCTGAAGTAATGGTTGATGTTTGTTTGGGAGCTCTATTTAAGTTATTGGTTAATTTTTATGAGAATTTATTCAAGGTAACGGTTGGTGTTTTAAAGAATTTATTCAAGGTAACTGTTGGTGTTTGTAAGAATTTATTCAACGTAACGGTTGATGTTTATGAGAATTTAATTCAAGGTAATGTTTGCGGTTTGTGAGCACCTTATCTAAGGTAACGGTTGACGGTTGCGACTACTATGTTTGAGGTAACGGGTAATATTGTCTTTCCCCCTGTTCGATGCAGTGATTGGTATCTGTAAGCATCGTTTTAGAGGTAATATTTAATGTTCGCATAGGAGTACTGAAGTTTTAATCTGTCATCCTAACAATTTTTGATATCTTCTAAAATTATTGATCTCATTCCTAACATCATCCACTCCGTTCCATACATCCAATAGATTTTTGCTGAGAACCTCCAAGTGGTCTACTGGCGAGTCCAAGACCCAAAAAAAGTCATAATTATCAGAAGCAGAAACCTTCCAAATCATACATGATTTGCGTTCGATACAGGAGGCTGCGTGGTCTTGAGGCCTGGTGTCCGCCTTGTGCTGGAGGTACCGGATTCAATCCCCGGTGAGGGCTGGGATTTTTTTTCACATGGACCTAGACCTAGACCTGGTAATTCCCCCTGGTCTCTGGGTAGTGAGATCGGACGCCCGTGTGTATTGTTACTCACGTAACAAATCTCTTGGCAGTGGAAATCAAAAAGAGTAACCTAACGGTGCTGCCCGGGCAAAATTTAGAGTTAACAATCTACCCAAAGTATTTAGGATCCTCGCCGTTGGTACAGAGACTGGTGCACTGTGCTGAGCCTTTTTCAGACTCAGACTTGAGTAAGAGGAAGAACGGAGCACTCAAGGGTTCTACCCGTGTGCGATGATGTTGATCCGTTGATACCACCAAATGCTCCCGCACATGATGCAAACTGTAACTACTCCTGACCCCAGACCCCTTGTGTCTGCACCCTGAAGAGTTTATAAAAAATGAGGGAAGTAGTCACTTGCCAATCTTGCAACCCAGTTTATGCCATAATCTGCTTGCTTGCTTGAAAAAGAAAAAAGAATAATTTGATCACGTTCAGGCATTTTTAGCTGTATAGCTGATACCTATATTTGTGATCTTTATTAGGTTTGAATTGTTTGAATATGGTTTCCTTCGGTTCCATTTGGTTATGTTGTTCTAAACGGTTTGACTGATGCTGTTTCTCACTTGTATAAAGTTGTTCTATACCTGATGTTGTTGTATCCGGAGGCAAGGGTCTTCTATTTCTTAACTGTGTCTCATTTTTTTCGTTCTTGGCTATGGTAGGACACATCTGTATCCATAATCTGCGAAAGATGAGGCAATTTATTTAACGGGGAAGCCAGTAGAATAAGGGTTCTCAGCTGTGGGTCGCGACGCCCCTCCCCCACCCCCTTTCACAGGGTTGACTAAAGATTATCGGAAAACGCAAATTCGTTGAAGTTATAAAGAAGCAATGAAAATAATTGTATTGTTGCGGGTGGCCACAACGTGAGGAACTATTAAAGAGTCGAATCATTAGGAACGCTGAGAACCACTTGTTTTAGTGAACAGTTTATGGTTATTTATAAGGGAGTGTCTAAACCAGTAATATTTTTAATAGTTCTGACCACCGAAACGATATTTTCATCTCTATCGCTGCCATATAATCGTACTCCGGGGATTACATCACCCGCCGTTGTTTTGAAAATGTCTTATTTATATTTTAGGCCACCTGAGGTCATTAAAAATCACCGTTTATCATACTTTCAAATGCATTTGTTTAAAAAAAAAATGTAGAGCCATTATCAGGGAAGGCTCAACCAGAGGCTCAATAAACATCCAAGACCTAAAACAGGTGCAACGACAGACATGGACAGCTATTACCTCTATCCAATGCGCCGCTGTAGACTCAAGAAGAAAGACTAACTAACTTAGTCATGTATCTATTTTATATATATATATATATTTTTAATTAGTTTTTTACCTCCACATATTTCTGTCCCATTTGTTTGTTCCCATTGAATTTCCATTAGTTGCTTTTGTTTAAGATTGATGTTGTTTTATTCGTCGATAAAGACTTTGGTGGAAACGCTCCATTTTCTCTCACATCATTAAGCTTCCTGGTCATAGTGGCTATTATGTTAATTTTTTTCCTTTGGCATTGGTTAGAAAGCACACAAGGGCTGGAGAATTTGCTAGAGATCAGAGACTTCTCGGGTGTGCTGTGAAGAAGGCGCCGATCATTAAAGGACATGCTGATTGATCTGATTGCCCGGCTCTCTAGCGAAGTTGGTTAAACCGAACTTTCGCGGCGGCCGGGTGACGAACTCCTTGTGGTCCGGATTCACTCCCGGGGGTAGGCAGAAAAGCCACATTTCTCCCAGATTAACGGTACCTATAATGGAATCAAGGCCGAAGGGTTGCGATATACATAGTACCGAGCCAAAGGGTTTACAAGTCATGGTTTCTGGATACGTAAAAAAAAAAAAAAAATTTGATCTGATGATTGATTGTTTACCCCAGTAGGACATCACACTTGAGCGATAAACACCGGTGACACAATGTGCCACCATTCGTATGATGATTACCCGTGGAGAGGTCACCGAAACCCCGTTCAACCGCCAGATTATATTAGGGCCCCCGGCAAAAACCAGGGTGGGGTTTCAAAATAATGAACAATTTGTCCCACATGGGGACGGGGATGACTAACGTGAACTGATTGATCGATCAATTCTCTTCTTCTTCTTCTTCTTCTTCTTCTTCTTCTTTTTCTTCTTCTTCTTCTTCTTCCTTTTTCTTCTTCTTCTTCTTTCTTCTTCTGTCTTCTTTTCTTCCTTTCTTCTTCTTCTTCTTCTTCTTCTTCTTCTTCTTATTTTTCTTCTTCTTGCTTCTTCTTACTTTCTTCTTCTTCTTCTTCTTCTTCTTCTTCTTCTTCTTCTTTCTTCATTCTTTCTTCCTTCTTCTTTCTTCTTCTTCTTCTTCTTCTTCTTCTTCTTCTTCTTCTTCTTCTTCTTCTTCTCTCTTCTTCTTGTCTTCTTCTTCTTCTTCTTCTTCTTCTTCTTCTTCTTCTTCTTCTTCTTCTTCTTCTTCTTCTTCTTCTTCGTCTTTCTTCTTCTTCTTCTTCTTCTCTTTCTTCTTCTTCCTTCTTCTTCTTCTTCTTCTTCTTCTTCTTCTTACTTCTTCTTCTTCTTCTTCTTCTTCTTCTTCCTTCTTCTTCTTTTCTTCTTCTTCTTTCTTTTCTTCTTCTTTCTTCTTCGTCTTCTTCTGCTTCTTCTTCTTCTTCTTTTCTTCTTCTTCTTCTTCTTCTTCTTCTTCTTCTTCTTCTTCTTCTTCTTCTTCTTCGTCTTCTTCTTCTTACTTCTTCTTCTTCTTCTTCTTCTTCTTCTTCTCTTCTTCTTCTTACTTGCTTCTTCTTCTTCTTCTTCTCTTCTTCTTCTTCTTCTTCTTCTTTCTTCTTTCTTCTTCTTTCTTCTTTCTTCTTCTTCTTCTTCTTCTTCTTCTTCTTCTGTCTTCTTCTTCTTCTTCTTCTTCTTCTTCTTCATTACTTCTTCTTCTTCTTCTTCTTCTCTTCTTCTTCTTCTTCTTCTTCACTCTTCTTCTTCTTCTTCTTCTTCCTTTTCTTCTTCTTCTTCTTCTTTCTTCTTCTTCTGTCTTCTTCTTCTTCTTCTTCTTCTTCTCTTCTTCTCTTTCTTCTTCTTCATTCTTCTTCTCTTCTTCTTCTTCTTCTTCTTCTTCTTCTTCTTCTCTTCTTCTTTTCTTCTTCTTTCTTCTTCTTCTTCTTCTTCTTCTTCTTCTTACTTCTATCTTCTTCTTTCTTCTTCTTCTTCTTGCTTCTTACTTCTTCTTCTTCTCTTCTTCTTACTTCTTCTTCTTCTTCTTCGCTTCTTCTTCTTCTTTCTTCTTCTTCTTCTTCTTCTTCTCTTCTTCTTCTTCTTCTTCTTCTTCTTCTTCTTTCTTCTTCTTCTTCTTCTTCTTCTTCTCTTCTTCTTCTTCTTCTTCAATTCTTCTTCTTCTTCTTCTCTTCTTCTTCTTCTTCCCTTTCTTCTTCTTCTTCTTCTTCTTCCTCTTCTTCTTCTTCTTCTTTCTTCGTTCTTCTTCTTCTTCTTCTTCTTCTTCTTCTTCTCTTCTTCTCTTCTTCTTCTTCTTCTTTCTTCTCTTCTTCTTCTTCTTCTTCTTCTTCTTCTTCTTCTTCTTCTTCTTCTTCTTTCTTTCTTCTTCTTCTTCTTCTTCTTCGTCTTCTTCTTCTTCTCTTCTTCTTCTCTTTTCTTCTTCTTCTTCTTCTTCTTCTTCTTCTTCTTCTTCTTCTTCTTCCTTCTTTTCTTCTTCTTTCTTCTTCTTCTTTCTTCTTCTTCTTCTTCTTCTTCTTCTTCTTCTTCTTCTTCTTCTTCTTCTTCTTCCTTCTTCTTCTTCTTCTTTCTTCTTCTCTTCTTCTTTTCTTCTTCTTCTTCTTCTTCTTCTTCTTCTTCTTCTTCTTCTTGCTTCTTCTTCTTCTTACCTTCTTCTTCTTCTTCTTCTTCTTCTTCTTCTTCTTACTTCTTGCTCTTCTTCTTCTTCTTTTCTTCTTCTTTTCTTACTTCTTGCTTCTTCTTCTTCTTCTTTCTTCTTCTTCTTTCTTCTTCTTCTTCTTCTTCTTCTTCTTCTTCTTTCTTCTTCTTCTTCTTCTTCTTCCTTCTTCTTCTTCTTCGTCTTCTCTTCTTCTTCTTCTTCTTCTTCTTCTTCTTCTTCTTCTTCTTCTTCTTCTTCTTCTTCTTCTTCTTCTTCTTCTTCTTTTCGTCTTCTTCTTCCTTCTTCTTCTTCCTTCTTCTCTCTTCTTCTTCTTCTTACTTCTTTTCTCTTCTTCGTTCTTCTTCTTCTTCTTCTTCTTGCTTCTTCTTCTTCTGCTTCTCTTCTGCTTCTTCTTCTTCCCTCTTTCTTCTCTTCTTCTTCTTCTTCCTTCTTTTCTTCTTCTTCTTCTTCTTCTTACTTTCTTCTTCTTCTTTCTTACTTCTTCTTCTTCTTCTTGTTTCTTCTTCTTGCTTCTTCTTCTTCTTCTTCTTCTTTCTTCTTCTTATTACTTCGTCTTCTTCTTCTTCTTCTTCTTCTTCTTCTTCTTCTCCTTCTTCTGTCTTCTTTATGACCTTCTTCTCCTTCGCCTTCTTCTTCTTCTCCTTCTCCCTTCTCCCTTCTTTTCCCTTCTTTCTCCTTCTCCCTTCTCCCTTCTTTCTTCTTCGCTTCTTCTTCTTCTTCTTCTTCTTGTCCTTTTCTTACTTTCTTGGCTTCTTCTTTTTGCTTCGGCCCACGTCCTTCTCCTTTTCTTTTTCTTTCTTCTTCTTCTTCTTTTCTTCGTCTTCTTCTTCTTCTCTTCTTGCTTTCTTTTCTTTTTCTTTCTTCTCTTTTCGTGTTCACTGGCTGTAAGCTCCGGCGGAAGGTTCTGGTTGTTCGTCCACTTCCGGACTGCAGTCCTGTTCCAGAACCTGAGTGTTGCGCGTGCATCCGTTTGACATATCTGACTAATTTGTATGCAGACGCTTGGTCCCTTGCCTTTCAGACACATGTACTCCGACTTCAAAGGAAGCTCCCAATTAGTCGACTCTTACGACATGCTTTTGGGTAGGCAGTGGTTCTGTTCTTGTTTTCCATGTAATAGGGCCCCGGAACCCACGCAGGAAAGATCGATGAATTATTTCTATTGTATTGTGTAGAACCCTCCCCCCCCTCCCCCCCCCCATTGTTGTATGCACATAATCCAGTCACAAATATGCTAAATTTAGATAATATCTTTATTTCTCTATTCTCCTCTTTCAGTATGGACAACGGACTCAGTATTTGCAGTGGCGAGTGTTTAGTATTTTGATTACCATTTTGCTGACGGCCCACGTCTTCTTCCCTGGGATTCAAGCTACATCCCCTGCCACGCCGTACTCCAAGTTCATTTATATGCACTTCTGGCTCTCCACACTTCTCATACTGCACTCGCTGCTGGAGCTCATTATTCTCATTTGGACTTACTACAGAACTCCGAGTCCGATTCTGGGTATAGTATTGGTTTTCATGTCGTATAATAAAAAAGAGAAACATTGATAATAATAACAATGTTTTTACGTCGTAAAACGAGTAGGAGATAAATTGATAATAATAACAATGTTTTGATGTCGTAAAATGAGTAGGAGATAAATTGATGATAATAACAATGTTTTCATGTCATAAAATGAGTCAGAGATAAATTGATAATAATAACAATGTTTTCATGTCGTAAAATGAGTAGGAGATAAATTGATAATAGTAACAATGTTTTCATGTCGTACAATGAGTAGGAGATAAATTGATAATAGTAACAATGTTTTCATGTCGTACAATGAGTAGGAGATAAATTGATAATAGTAACAATGTTTTCATGTCGTACAATGAGTAGGAGATAAATTGATAATAGTAACAATGTTTTCATGTCGTACAATGAGTAGGAGATAAATTGATAATAGTAACAATGTTTTCATGTCGTACAATGAGTAGGAGATAAATTGATAATAGTAACAATGTTTTCATGTCGTACAATGAGTAGGAGATAAATTGATAATAATAACAATGTTTTCACTTCGTAAAATGAGTCAGAGATAAAATGATAATAATAACAAAGTTTCAAATCGTAAAATGAGTAAGAGATAAATTGATAATTATAGCAATGTTTTCACGTTGTCAAATGAATCAGAGATAAATTGATAATAATAACAATGTTTTCACGTTGTAAAATGAGTAGGAGATAAATTGTTTATAATAACAATTTTTTTACGTTGTAAAATGAGTCAGAGATAAATTGATAATAATAACAATGTTTTCACGTCGTAAAATGAGTATGATATGAATTGATAATAATAATGTTTTTACGTCGTAAAATGAGCAAGAGATAAATTGATAATAATAACAATGTTTTCACGTCGTACAATGAGTAGGAGATAAATTGATAATAACAATGTTTTCACGTCGTAAAATGAGTCAGAGATAAATTGATAATAATAAAAATGTTTTCACATCGTAAAATAAGTTAGAGAATAAATTGATAGTAAAAACAATGTTTTTACGTCGCTACATGAGTAAGAGATAAACTGATAATAATAACAATAAAAGCTGCCGTGGTCTAGCTGTTAGATGCTTTGAGGCAGATCAGAAGGTCGTTGGTTTGGTTCCTAACGAGGGCCTGTGTTTTTGTGTTTTTTTTCCCCTTTAAAAATGACCTTGGCTCTCAGGTCGCACCCAGCTTTGAGTGGGTACCAGGTGCAGTCCTGGGAAAGTAAAGACAGCCGGCGTGATGCTGACCACATCACCCACCAAGTTCCGTTTGATCTATACAATGTAGATCTAGCCCTATATGCCCAATACGTCTGAAAGGCGTGGGCAATTTTCCTTTTTGACTTTTAAAATAATAACCATAATAATCAGCAGATGTAGAAACAACAGAAGAAGGAGTAGGAGGAAGAGGTGGAGGTGGAGGAAGAGAGGAATGCAAATAAAATAAGGACAACCGTTGACACTATTCGTGAAATGCTTAAGGCTACATTCCACAAACGCAAAAGAAGAATATCGTTAATTTTCAACGCTTATGATACACAGATATTCTGAGAGAAAAAAATACACCCCCCCCCCCTTTTCCCCCCCCCCCTCGATATTTGTTCCCCCCCCCCCCCCGCATCGAATATTGTCTCGGAAAGGGGAATGTTTCGGCCATATAAATGATAGTTTTGAAAGAGCACTTATTCGAGACATTATTCCTGGAAGGAAAAGGGAGGGGAGAAAAGGGGGTGGGAAGGGGGAGGTTGAAGAGTATAAACGCGGACACTGTATTACTGCGACACCTTTAATCAATCAATTTATCAATCATTAGGGTGCCGTCTCCACTATAAAGGTTTCCTGCGATGGATTATCTCCAACACACTTTGTCTCTTGTCTTGGTTGTATACTCTCTCTCTCTGACTGCTGTACATCAATCTCTTGATGCTATCCTCACACTTATATCGTTGTCGACCTCTTGCTGTCTTGCACTGGAACTATCCTTCCAGTATGGTTTTTAAATGTTTTATGTCTTTTTATGTGGGCTAAATATTTCAGTTGTCTGTTTATTATTTCTTTCAGTAACTCTGTTTTCATTTGCGGCTTCTCTAGAACTTCTGTATTTGATTCGGTTGGCGTGAAACCGGTTATGTACACGCACGCATGCACGCGCGCGCACGCCGGCGCGCGCACACACACACACGCACACACGAGGGGCTTCAAATGAAAACTTTAAAATTGTGAGATCAATTACAATAACAATGTAATTGCCTATAACCTGTCAGTATGTTGTTAAGGGTGTCAAGAGTGTTAAACTTAAGAACATCAAGTGGCAGACGAGCACGGTGGCGTCATCACGACAGTTTAAAGATGACTTCCCCACTTTTGACATGCACCAAAGAAACGCAGCGTTGCTATCTATCCTCCCTCCACCCACTCAGTTAGTGAAGCCGTGAAAGCTGTAGAAATTCATCGGTGAAAGCTGAAGAAATTCATCGGTAAAAGCTGTAGAAATTCATTGGTGAAAGCTGTAGAAATTCATTGGTGAAAGCTGTAGAAATTCATCCTCGAAAGCTGTAGAAATTCATCGGTGAAAGCTGAAGAAATTCTTCGGTAAAAGCTGTAGAAATTCATCGGTGAAAGCTGTAGAAATTCATCGTCGAAAGCTGTAGAAATTTATCGGTGAAAGCTGAAGAAATTCATCGGTAAAAGCTGTAGAAATTCATTGGTGAAAGCTGTAGAAATTCATCATCGAAAGCTGTAGAAATTCATCGGGGAAAGCTAAAATTCATCGGTAAAAGCTGTAGAAATACATTTGTGAAAGCTGAAGAAATTCATCGGCGAATGCTGTAACAATTCATTGTTGAAAGCTGTAGCAATTCATTGGTGAAAGCTGTAGCAATTCATTGGTGAAAGCTGAAGAAATTCATCGGCGAAAGCTGTAGCAATTCATTGGTGAAAGCTGTAGCAATTCTTCGGTGAAAGCTGAAGAAATTTATTGGTGAAAGCTGTAGAAATTCATTGGTGAAAGCTGTAGCAATTTATCGGTGAAAGCTGTAGAAATTCATCGATGAAAGCTGTAGCAATTCATTGTTGAAAGCTGTAGCAATTCATTGTTGAAAGCTGTAGCAATTTATCGGTGAAAGCTGTAGAAATTCATTGTTGAAAGCTGTAGCAATTCATTGGTGAAAGCTGTAGCAATTCATTGTTGAAAGCTGTAGCAATTTATCGGTGAAAGCTGTAGCAATTCATTGTTGAAAGCTGTAGCAATTCATTGGTGAAAGCTGTAGCAATTCATTATGAAAGCTGTAGAAATTCATCGGTGAAAGCTGTAGAAATTCATTGGTGAAAGCTGTAGCAATTCATTGTTGAAAGCTGTAGCAATTCATTGGTGAAAGCTGTAGCAATTCATTATGAAAGCTGTAGAAATTCATCGGTGAAAGCTGTAGAAATTCATCGGTGAAAGCTGTAGCAATTCATTGTTGAAAGCTGTAGCAATTCATTGTTGAAAGCTGTAGCAATTCATTGTTGAAAGCTGTAGCAATTCATTGTTGAAAGCTGTAGCAATTCATTGGTGAAAGCTGTAGAAATTCATCTGTGAAAGCTGTAGAAATTTATCGGTGAATGAAGTTCCAGTATGGTGATGCAGGCCACGAATAGACAACATGAGTAACGAAGATGTCCTGAAAGAAATTAACGCTCGAAGAGAACTGATTGCTCAGATCAGAAGGTGACAATGTACATTCTTTGGTCATGTCAGAAAAAGAAGCAAATTGGAGTACAGCGTGACTGTGGGAGGGACACACAGACAGAATAAGACCTAAAGAGAAGTTTATGGGTATCTTGTGTCATGGTATGGAAGATCAACTGTGCCAGACCTGAGTGAAAGTTAAAGTTAGTTGCGTATCCTTTACATGACGTTGCAGAACTAACGTTATCATGTTTTGGCTTTTGTGGTTTATCTAGGCACATTTTACGTTCAGTAGTTTGCCACTGCTTCCTAAACGGCCAGCTCTCGGTGCCACTGTCAAAACCAACGCAAGACAAATTGTCCGAACCCGGTACTCTGGCATTACGAAGCGCGTTAGCAAAACTCGACTCGACTTCCAGTGCCACACGGCATGGACCATAAGAAGAGGAACCGTGTGCTTCAATGCTATACACTCTGACGGCAGTATCGTTTATCAAACTATTGTTGATCATGATGGGAGCACTGTCTTGTTGTCTCTTCTTCCTCAGTAAGAATGCACCACACGCCATGGCATTTTAAACTCATCTGGCTGATGTACAATGTCCTGTACCCGAATATCCTGTCCTGCAACGTCATGTACTACGCCGTGATTAAAGATATGGGTGAGTGATTTAACCAGTTCTGTACTAATAGACTTGTCATTAATTAATTGGCTTTTTTTTTTTAAAGCTGAAATGCTATAGAAAGATTCTCAGAATATCTTAGACAAAGAAGAGGAGAAATACTGACATCTTAAAAGATCTGAACATCAAGGAAGATTGGCTAATAAACAGCATCCTGTCTCGGAGGCTGAAATATGTTGGTCATATCAAGCGCCACGACGAATTGGAAAAAAAAATTTATAGCAGAAGGCATGGTACCAGGAAGGAGGGGCAGTGGCCGACCGACACGAAGATTGGCACAGGTTATAAGTGACTCCTTGAGTATGAAAGTACATGAGACGGGAGAGCTGGCGAGAGACCGAGTTTCTTTCAGGCAGACTGTGATGAGAGCGACGTTCTGCAAAGGGCCTGCTACATAATGATGATGATTGGGGGGGGGGGGGAGCAACCGATTTAAAGCATATAGTAAGCATGTTTGCAGTAAACGGCTTGATGCAAACATCAAAATCCACGCATTTTGAAAGTAATTCGTGCGAGAAACCAAGGACTGGTTATTTTCAATACTGAAGTGAATTGGTCATTTACCTCCAAATTGCTAGTTGACTGGCTCATAAAATGTACACACTTTGTGTCAATTGTTTGTATATTTGTTAGGGGTACACAAGTTATTAGTCCGACAAAGAAATTGACCCCTGTATGTAAACAGCAGCAGCTGTGCAACTTTCAGTTGTAAAAATCATAAGGACATTGGGAATCTAAATGACGTCTGTTTGGCGTTGTGTCGTCTAAATTAGACTTTGAGACCGTCAATCCAGCAGGGAAGTGTACTTACCACAAGGTTATCGCATCTCTCGTCTACTAGACAAACAGGGAACATAGACTTTTGCCAGTGAATGATACACATGGCAGACAGTCAAATCTACATCAATATCTGTTGTGCATGACCTTGTCCAGCTGTTTGAACCACACACATGCACACAAAACAGGCCGGGGTGTACACGAGCTACAGACAGAAGTGCTGTCAGCACAGGATTCCAATGCGATAGAAGCCAGAAGCAAATTCTGCAGTGGAATCATTTTCTTAGGTTCCTGCGACTTCTACTTATCTAGACCACGTCCGGCTGTATATTAGTACTGATATTTCTTTACTTTTGCTGAAACAACTTTTAGTTTACATCTAAACGTTACTGATGTTTATGTTCATGTTGACTGTAGCAAAAGATTTTTTTTGTGTGTCTGTAAGAGCCTTTATTGTTATATTTAATCGGCACACTTATTTACCTTAAAAATGACGTATAGTTCTAAAAAAACAAGTCGAAAATTAATGAAACTGTAGTTTAATTTGTGTATACATCTCCTTGATGAAAACTGTGGACGCAGAGGGACTCAATTCTTGCAGAAGAACGGGAATTCTCGTTTGAGCTGTACGGCCTTATAAAGCTGGAGCTGGCCGTGTCTAGACTTGACTGTATAATTATTTTCCAACAAGGACGTGATTATTACCAGGTTCTGATTCTTCTTCTTAAAGTCCATGCCGTGTGGCGTTGGTAGTCATGTCTATCCACAACCTTCTGTCTCGTGTACTTTTAGTCACCTCTGACACAGATGATCTTCCAAGCCATGATATCTACCATAGTGTTGCAAATTATTATTATTATTATTATTTCGTTCCAGAAGTGCACTTGGGAGAATCTAGATTATTCGTGGCCCTGTTGGCCTCATTCGCTGGCATACATGTTTCTGTAACAGCCATTCCCAGCCGGATGGCCCATATTCTGCAGCCGCTGCTGTTCAATGTCCTGCATATTTCCTTCACCTACCTCTATCAGCTGAACGGTTTCACAAACCATCTGGGCCAGAACTACGTATATACGGAGATTGATTGGCTCAATTCACGGTAGGTGATTTACATAACCAGAAGATTTGCCTTGTTATTGGTTAGTGTGTAGAATGTATTCTTGATGTTTATTGGTTTATCATCATCATCATCATCATCATCATCATCATCATCATCATCATCATCATCATCATCATAATCATCATCATCATCATAAACCACTTCTGCCGTTAAGGGCCGTGGAGAGGAATAATTTGCGATCCAGTACACGCCGGCTGCCACTGGCTATTATCATGTTGTGAAGGTCAAGAACGTCTTTAATGTTGTCGATCCATATTTTTCGCGTCCGTCCCCTTGCTTTTGTAGCTGACCTTCTGAATTGTAGTGCTTTTTGATGGTATTTGATCTTGTTGCATTCTAACAAGATGGCCAAAACTCTTGATCTGCTGTTTTTCGATGAATCTAGTACAAGGCGTCGTTCCCACAATTTGGCTGATAGTATCATTATTCACTCAATCTCAGATGTTTAGGTTGGCTGCTTTTCTCAGGCACCTCATCTCGCAGGTGGTGATTTTGCGTGTATGGGCTTTAGATAGTGTCCATGTTTGGCACTAGTAGCCTAATGTTGGAATGAATATGCTGTTTATAATCTGTCTCTTTGCACTCATAGTTAGGCTTCCATGTCTTAATAATGGTGGCCATTGATATATAAGTGCACTTGCTTTCTGACATCTGGTTTCTATTTCTCTGTAAATTCTGCCATCTTCCGTGATCATACTTCCTAGATATTTTAACTCCCGAACTTGGTTCAGACCAGATGTCATGTAAAATACTTACGTCCTTTTTAGGACGAAATTTTTTTGTTCTTTGAAGCCCCACCCTTTCTTTTGCCAGGGGCCGCAATATAGGCAGGCCATAAATGTGGCCAGTTGTCTGAACGCGGTTTCTGGGACCTCTCTACGGCGATCCTCATCCATATGTGTGTCATCGGGTGTTTATCGCTTGTGTGATGTCCTAGTGGGGTAGAAAGTCAGTCAGTCAGTCAGTTCAGACCAGAACCATTCAGCTGTATGTGTAATGGGTCAGGGGTTCTACTAACTTGCATTGTTTCGGTTTTGTTTGCATTGATCTTCATGTTGTATTTACTGCATGTTGAGTTTAACCTGTGAATGTGGTCTTGCAGTCTATCTTCTTCAGGGTGGAACAAGCACTGGTCGTCAGCAAATAGTAGTTCGTTTAATGTGGGTGAATCGATAACTTCTTCTAATGTGTGTACTTCCTCGTGATTATTAAGATCCATGTTGTGTGTATCAGAACTTGCTTATTTAGATATTATGTCTATATAGTATTAAATAAAAGTAGGGAGAGCACACACCCCAGTCTCACACCTGTGTTGACTGTGACCATATCTGATATGCCTTCTTGTGTTCGTATTGCACTTTGGCTTGTGTGGTACATGGCTATGATGTTCTCTAGTAACTGTCATTGTACCTCGTAGTTCTCAAATACAGACCACAGTTTGTTTCTGTCCACTCTATGGTCGATTGTGTGTGTGTTTTGTTTTTCATACACGGATGGATCGATGACAGTGAACTGAAGGAAAAAAAAAATTAAAAAAAACAAAAAAAACAGAGGATGTAAAAAAAAAAACAACGTTTTACGGACGTTGATACTGTATTCAACTCCCTGAAATAATAATATCACTTCATATTTTTACATGTATTTGTCTCCCAGTTCTAAGTGTTTCACATCTCACTGTGTGTGTATATATTTATTTATATATTTTCTGTACGAATACCACTTCACAGAGTTGTGTGTATTTATCTAAATTGTGTGTGAACATCACGTCACATTGTTGTATGTATTTTAACTACATGTTGGAATATCCCTGCACACTGTTGCATGTTTTCACCCTGCTGCACGAATAGTTCTGCACATTTCTACGTGCATTTTACACTGTTGTAAGAAAATCCCTGCACATTGTTGTGTGTATATGTTGCTGTCGTATAAATATCCCTGCACATTGTTGTATTGATTGATTGACTTTCTACCCCACTAGGACATCACACAAGCGATAAACACCCGATGACACAAAGTGCTACCATCTGGATGAGGATCACCGTGGAGAGGTCCCAGAAACCGAGTTCAGACAATTGGCCATATTTATGGCCTGCCTAAATTGCGGCCCCTGGCAAAAACCAGAGTGGGGCTTCAAAAAAAAAAAAAAATTACGTCCTAAAAAGGACGTAAGGATATATGGTAGTACACTGTTGTATGTATTGTTCTCACTGTTGTATGAACATGCCTGCACATTGTTGTATGTATTGTTCTCACTGTTGTATGAACATGCCTGCACATTGTTGTATGTATTGTTCTCATTGTTGTATGAACATGCCTGCACATTGTTGTATGTATTGTTCTCACTGTTGTATGAACATGCCTGCACATTGTTGTATGTATTGTTCTCACTGTTGTATGAACATCCCCGCACATTGTTGTATGTATTGTTCTCACTGTTGTATGAACATGCCTGCACATTATTGTATGTATTGTTCTCACTGTTGTATGAACATGCCTGCACATTGTTGTATGTATTGTTCTCACTGTTGTATGAACATGCCTGCACATTGTTGTATGTATTGTTCTCACTGTTGTATGAACATGCCTGCACATTGTTGCGTGTGTAATGATCCACAGAACATCGGCTGCTTGCTGTGCGGGGATGTGGCTGTTAGTTACCTGTTGTTGCCACATCCTCATGGTTTGCTGCTGTTGGTACCGGAGGCTTGTCTACCGCGGCAAGCGGACCAAGGTCAGTCAGTGTCCGGCCGGCAAGTAGAAGTAACATAGAAACGGTGGTATAGTAACACCAGTCCACACAGAGCTTGTTGAATTTTGAATTAGGAATCGACGTCATAAGCAGGAAACGAAGAGTTCCGATTCTGATGACACTAGGAACTGACTGTATATCAGTCTGGCCGTTCCCATAAGTGTTGGGCGTCGACCACATCCTCTGGTAACTTCTGGCAGCGCCATTCTCCTCAGACCATGATGATCTGTCTGCCCCTCCGCACTGTTCACTCCAACAGGCCCTCACAACATCTAGCTTGTCATACATCAATTAACCACCAACTGGTGAGGTAAAATAACCAATGATCTTTATTTTTATAAGGGCTCAAATTGGGCGCCCAAGCCCGTAATACATTCCGCCCTTTCAGACATCCATCGTTTTTACAGCAATTGTATTTTATGTCTAAAGCATGTTATATTCATAAATCAATGTCATCATCAAGTGCCTTGCCGACCGGCGTGGACTATTATTCCTCTCCCCAATATGGCAGATAGACTGGCCGGTTCTGCACCACTTGGTGGTAAACTGATGTATGACAAGCTGGATGTTGTGAGGGCTTTTTGGCAGCAAGTGAACAGTGCCGAGGCACAGATAGATAATTACGGTCTGTGGAGAATGGCACTGCGAGGAGTTACAAAGGGATCTGACCGACGCTTGACACTCAGGGAAAAGGCGAGACGGATATACAATCAGACAGTTACTGGTACCATTGGAATTTTAACTCTTCGCTTGCTGCTGTAGATGGAGACGGAGCGCTTATGGGGATGTCCCGTGTGCTGTGATGTCGATTCCTAATTCAGCTTTCAACAATATTCCACATTCTTTCCGGCGTTTGTGATAAGCTGACTTTGAGCCTTCTCCTCTTTGAAAACACATGGGTTGCTATTTTTTAGCTGTCTAAAGAATTCTAAGGGTTTCTTTGTAAAACCACATCTGTAAAAACCACATAAATCAATATACACAATTGAAAACAACAACAACAACAACAACCCGTACTTCCAATCGAGAGCTACAAAAACCAACTACGATTGCACCTAGCGCTCGATGACAAAAGAGAAATACGATGTTGATTGGAGGGCCAAGAATAGTGACCTTGATCCCTGATAGTGGGAGAAATACGATGTTGATTGGAGGGCCAAGAATGCAGACCTTGATTCCTGATAGTGAGAGAAATACGATGTTGATTGGAGGGCCAAGAATGCAGACCTTGGTCCCTGATGGAGAAATACGATGTTGATTGGAGGGCCAAGAATTCAGACCTTGATCCCTGATAGTGGAAGAAATACGATGTTGATTGGAGGGCCAAGAATGCAGACCTTGATCCCTGATAGTGGGAGAAATACGATGTTGATTGGAGGGCCAAGAATGCAGACCTTGATCCCTGATGGAGAAATACGATGTTGATTGGAGGGCCAAGAATACAGACCTTCATCCCTGATAGTGGGAGAAATACGATGTTGATTGGAGGGCCAAGAATGCAGACCTTGATCCCTGATAGTGAGAGAAATACGATGTTGATTGGAGGGCCAAGAATGCAGACCTTGATCCCTGATAGTGGGAGAAATACGACGTTGATTGGAGGGCCAAGAATGCAGACCTTGATCCCTGATAGTGGGAGAAATACGATTTTGATTGGAGGGCCAAGAATGCAGACCTTGATCCCTGATAGTGGGAGAAATACGATGTTGATTGGAGGCCAAAAATGATGACCTTGATCCCTGATAGTGGGAGAAATACGATGTTAATAGGAGGGCCAAGAATATAGACCTTGATCCCTGATAGTGGGAGAAATACGATGTTAATAGGAGGGCCAAGAATATAGACCTTGATCCCTGATAGTGGGAGAAATACGATGTTGATTGGAGGGCCAAGAATGCAGACCTTGATCCCTGATAGTGGGAGAAATACGACGTTGATTGGAGGGCCAAGAATGCAGACCTTGATCCCTGATAGTGGGAGAAATGAGATGTTGATGGGAGGGCCAAGAATGCTGTTCTTGATCCATGATAGTGGGAGAAATACGATGTGGATTGGAGGGCCAAGAATGCTGACCTTGATCCCTGATATTAGGAGAAAACGATCTTTGTTTCTGCATTACCCACTCCAGAGTTGCAGTCTGATAGTGTCTTTTTCTGCCTTCTATCCCCCAACGGAGCAAAAGCCCTCAACCAACTCACACCAAGTCTTTCTATCCTTCGCTATGGCATGTAGCTATTCCCATGTCCTCCTCATCTTTTTTAACTTCACTATCCAGCACCCTACCCAGTGTGTTTTTTGGTTTGCCCTTATTTCTACGCTCCTGTGGGCTCCAGTGCAAAGACATTCTAGCTATATTGTTCTCAGGTTTTCTTAATGTATTCAACGTCATCGTTTTTTTTCTTTTTCGTCTCTAGGTCCACTGAGACATGTTTATTTTGTCCCCGAAAGCTCAACATTTGTGATTCTATCATAGAATTTAATTCCCTCTATTCTGCGCAGGGACCACTTAATGAATGTTTGTAGTTTATTAGTAACTGCTTTTGTTGTTTTCGATGTTTCTGCTCCATACAGCAATACTGATTCGACATTAGAACGAAACATTTTAAGTTTAGTATAGTCTCTATTTCTAATTAAAATAGAAAACCTGTACTTGAAGAACATGTTGCAGCCTGGAGTATCTACAGGCTCGGGAGAACGGCAAGACGAGTAGTTAACCAGATGACAGCGGGTCCCAACAATATGGAGACTCTTCGCTTACTGGTTAAGAGGGAGACGGAGTTAATATAGGCTAGTCCTGAATGCCGTATTGTCGAACCCTTACCTAGGTGGACTCAAAATCCAACAGTACAAAGCCCATGTATGGCATTTTACAAAGGATGCCGATGAAACTCGACAGGGAACTGCACACTCTTGCATGCACTTCATAGCACGGTCCAAACCCAGGAGTTATCTTCATCTTTGTTCCATGGTATGCCGGTGTCTGTAGCAAGGGAAGAGCTGATAGACTAACCGGTTCTGACTTTGTTGCAGACGCTCGGCTTATAGATCGGGCAAACGTTGTTAATGCCCTTAGAGACAGGATGATTGGAGTATTCTGGGACCAGCATGTTCACATCGCTGCTAAGAATGCGGCAACCGGAATTAAAATAAGTGACGTAAATCCCCAACAGGACCGCACAAGGAGCGATTTATACCTGATGACACAAGCTGGACGAGAACACATATCTTGACAATACAATATAGCAAGATTACCTGCAAAGTTTAATTATCTTCGCGTGTTCTATTTTCGCCAGTCCGCCAGGCCAATCTATGGTTTCTCCCCCGAAGAGTATTATCCGTTTACAGAAAAGGAAGAACACTTCAACCATTTTGAGCTGCCCGCTCCTGATAAAGAGACAGCAGCCGCTGGTAAGATACCTCTAAAAACTCTTCTGTTGTACTTGGATGAAAATATCTGGATTGCACATTGCCTTATGAGCCGAAGGCGTTAGAAGGGTCTCTTGTTTTACCTATTTATAATCAAGTCCCCTCCTCCCCCGTCTTTTTTTTTCAAACCACAGCCCACCCTCGGAATTGCAGCCTGAAGGTTTGACATCCAGTGACTCAAAGTGTCACTTTATAATGTCAATCCAATAAGAGCAAGATACCCCTGTTCTCTTCTCTTATTTTTAAAAGAAAAAAAATCCGATCACTCTGAACCTTCTCTGTACAGCCTTGTTTATAAATGTGGTCGTGATTTTTGGGTACCATTTTCAATGGCTTAGTTTCTCTGGGTGTGTTTTCTATTGTCTGTTGTTGGTTCTCTGGGTTATAATTAAGTTATATTATTACAATCGACATTACTGCACACGGGGCATTCTCATGATTGATCAGTCTTCGAATAAAGCAGCAGCACTCAAATGTGCCTCCTCTACTAATTCTTTCCATGAGAAATTGTTTAGGATGTTTCTCATACCTGGATCTCGAAGACGGCACCGTCGTGCTTTACCCGGCTTCATCCTAAGGTCATCTAAGTTGTAGCTGTGGCCCCGATAACTTTCTGACATTTTTAGTGGTTTAGTTTCCTAGGTTGTCTTATTTGTCGCCTGTCTTTGATGATCTGAGTTACAGTTGTAGTCTTATTTTCTGCTGGAACCATGTTCAGCGATTTAAAAGATATATAAAGGCAGACAGATTGGCAAGATCTGCACCACTGGGTGGTAAATTGATACATGAGAAGGCAGATGTGGTCAAGGCAATAGAGGAAAAGGTCGGCGGCAAAAGAGCACACGGTAGACAACGATATAAGGTAGGTAGTTGCACCCCACCAGGACAACACACAAGCGATAAACACCCGGTGACACAAAGTGCCACCATGCGGATGAGGATCAACCGTGGGGATGTCCCAAAAACCCCTTTCAGCCGTTAGGACATATTTATGACCCGGCTATATTCAGGGCCACTGGCAAAAGATAGGGCGGGACTTCAAAATAAAAACAAAAAAAAAATAACTTTTTATAATTTAACGATACAAGATTGAGGACAACATCGAGAGACAGACGACCAGCAGTCTGGGAGAGTGCACAACTAAGACAATAGACAGAGCGTATTAGAGATCCATTGCAGCCGACCTTCACCGTGGAGACGGCAACTGAGTAATTGATTTGAGTCTCTAGATGTTAACCTTTCAGACTGCAAACCTGGATGCTAAAACTTTGAAAAAAAAAATATTAGGTACTTCACAGGCATTTATCTGGCTATTTCTCTTAGATTGCTGTGCTCTTGAAAATACCTTTATATATATATAATATTATATAATATATATATATATATATATATATATATATATAGATATATATATATGTATGTGTGTATGTGTGTGTGCATGGCACTCATCGGCCTACGGGTCGCCCATTGACTTTACGGTAGACGACTTCGTCTCCGGTCGGGACAGCATATTGGGTCAGTCTCCTTTGATCCCATATATTATATATATATATATATATATATATATATATATATATATATATATATATATATGTTGTGTGTGGTGTGTGTATGTATTTTTGTGCATGGCACTCATCGGCGACAGGGTCGCCCATTGACTTGCCGGTAGACGACTTCGTCGCCGGTCGGGACAGCATTTGGGTCAGTCTCCTTTGATCCCATAAACACTGCATGAGTCCTTTTAAGTTTCTTAGTGGCGTGCAATGCTAAGCTATTTTATATGGCGCGAAAAACCTAGTCACAATTATAACCTAAAACTCCCTCTGCTGGTTAAACGTGAAGATTTTTTTTTTTTCAAGCAGAGCATCTACCTACCATGTGTACGTGGATTGGCAACAGTTGGTCAGTTAGACCCATCCACCCACACTCAGATACAGTTTACTTCGTAACTGTTTTATGATGCCTTAAGTAAGTGAATCAATGAACCCTGCGGAGGCGCAGATAGATCATTACAGTCTAAGGAGTTACCAGGGGATGTGGCTGACGCTCAACACTCAGGGGAAGGATGAGCCGGATAAACAATCAAACGGTTACTCGTGTCATCGGAACTGGAACTCTTTGCTTGATGCTGAAATGGAGACGGAGCACTTATGGGGTGTCCTGAGTTGGTTATTCAAACATGTGATCGGGCCAACGCTCAACACTCACGGGAAGGATGAGACGGATATACAGTCAGACGGTTACTGGTGTCACTGGAATTGGAACTCTTCGCTTGCTGCTGAAGGTGGGGGCGGAGCACTTTTGTGGGTGTCCCGCGTACTGGGATGTCGATTCCTAATTCAACATTTAACGTGTATGTCTAGTTTGATTATTCAAACAGGTGATTAACGCTGAATAATTTAAATCACTTTTCCTCTTCCGTTTGTGTTCTGGGACCCCATGTTTAGAGGGGGAAAAAAGGTTGACCATCTGCCCCTCAACAAGCATGTCATAAAAGTTGACCAGTTAAGAATTAGCTCAAATTGGATGTGTCGGGCAGATAGACACAGCCTAGCTGCTAAAAACCACAACACGACCTTCCATCCGCCCTTTGAAGAGTGAGCGCAGAAGAAGAGGAAGACGACAAATTGTAAAAATCATAACCATAACAAAAACAAGCAGAAGAAGATGGAGGAGGAGAAGAAGAAGCAGACGACTACGACAAAGCAGAAGAAGACAATGACGAAGAAGAAGGAGGATGAGAAGAAGACGATGACGAAAAAGAAGCAAAAAGAGAAGAAGAAGAAAAAAGGAAAAGGAGAGACAGAAACAAGTTCCCATCTGGTTCCTCTAGGTGAGGTGCCGGAAGCCATGGCAGAAGAGAGTCCACACCTAAAGGCCCCCAGACACTACTCGCCGCACATGAGCTACAGGCTGGTGCCCGTGCCTAGATCCATGGTGACAGATTCTTCCGTCGACGTCCGGCCTGATGCGAGTGATCTTCTGATTCCCCCGTCTCGCGTCAGTGTTAGAAAGGTTGGGCGTCTGAGGAAAGGATTCAAGAAAGCACGCTCAAGTATTTCCTACAAGGTGGGTGTGTTTGTGTCTGTTTGCTCCCAGTGTGGGTTGTAGGGAACCATGATTTGAAGGAGGTGGGGAGGGGGTGGAGAGGAGGGGAAGGTGGAGAAAAGACAACTGTCGTCTTAAAATCATCATCGTCAACCAGCAGGACCTATACCGAACGTGGATTTCTTCACGGCACGACTTAACTTCTTGACATCTCTAGCCGATTCTCCAGCCTTGTATATACTTTTATAGGCAGTGCGTCTTCAATGTTTTGTATCCCTATTCACGCAGGTTGGTCGTTGCCTTGTGGTCCAGAAACTTCCTCTTAGCTAACATGTCGTAAGACTGACTAATTATAGATCCGCTAAATTCAGATTTGTTATGTCAAACTGCACAGATTTAATTAATAACTGAGCCAACACAACGTACCAAAGGGTGAACGCAGACAAATGAAGTCTTTTTTGTTGTTACCGTTTATGTCTTCTTCTTCGCGCTCACTGGCTGTAAACTCCGAAAGCAAGTTATGGTTGTTTGTTCCCGTCTGAACTTTAGTCTTGTTCCAGAACCTGAATGTTGCGTTCACATCCCTTTAACAGATCTGAATTAACTGTATACAGATTGTTGGTCCCTTTCCTCTCAGGCAGATGCACTGCGACTTCGAACGAAGCTCCCAGTCGGAGTGCGTCTGCATGAAGGGCAAAGAACTAACAGTCTACAGGCAAATACGCCAGATCTGCAAAATTGAAGTGCCCTCAAAACTTAATTTCTTGAACAAGGCCAAAGTCTAAAAATAGACGAACAACCAGAAATCACCGCCAGAGTTTACTGCCGGTAAACACAAAGAAGGAGAAGGAGATATTGTTATGCCATTTATACATCATTAATGGAGCTCGCTGTTGGTTACTCATTTCAGTCTTTTCCGTGCAATCGTTTCGATATCGCGATTGGAATCTAGCCGTTGACCTCTCTTTCGCCAAAGTCAGTCGTATGATTATCGTGAACGTTCTCTATTCCTGAATCAATCCTCCCCCCTACCCTTTTTTCAGTGCCTGATTTGTTACCCTTCGACTGTTTCAGTTGATAATGGGCTCATATTTTATTAAATCTGTATTGTCCTGTTGTGCCATTATGTGTCACAGATGGCTCACAATCTATTCCTCGATTCCATTCTATATGTGCAGTCCCATCCATAGTATGGATGGAATCCAATTCAGCAGTTTTGGCTTTTCTCATCACCGTTCGTTTTAGAGTTTATTTTGCACGTCTTCAGTCTTGTAATTTCCGATCTTAGTGCCTGCTTGGTGATTTTCTGCTCGTTTCTTCTCAAGATATTCAATATGGCGTTATTTTTTTGTTACGATAAATATGGTTATCAGTGGTTGCCCTAACATCAGTCTTATTTCTTTAACCCTCTTGAATTCAACCATTAACTATAACTTCGTCCCCATGTGGACGGCTCTGTGGCTATGTCGATGCGAACATTCGTAATGCATGGTTTGATCCCACTGCGGGCCATGCGCCTTGCGTTGGTTTCGACAGTGGTATCAAGAAAGCCGACCGTCCAGAGAGCAATGGCAAACTACTGGACGTAAATTTGCCTAGAAAAACCACACAACAACCAGGGCTTTTGGGGTTGGTTTTGCAACGTCCTGTAAAGGATACGCAACTAACCTAACCCAATTTAGGACAACGTGTTCGTTATTTTGAAGTCCCCACCCTGGCTGCTGCTGGGAGCCCTTATATAACCTAACTGTTGAACGGGGTTCCTGGAACCTCTGTACGGGTGATTCTCATTCAAATGGTGGCACTTTTTGTCACCGGGTGTTTATCGCTCAGTGTGATGTCCTGGTGGGGCACAAAGTCAGTCATTAACCTCATTTTATGTTCGCCACTGTCGAATCCACATGTGGTCGCACAAGGTAGTCCTGACATAAAAGAAACCAAAACGATCTCGAGTCGGCCTTCCAGATTAAGCGCATGGCCAGAGGTAGTTGAAGAAGAAGACAAAGAAGAAGACTTTCGGCTCTACTGGCAAATCCGGACGAAGAATAAAAAGCCTTGGACGACTTAGTCAGAGTTCTCTCCCTTGGCCGCACTCCAAACAGTGATCGGAAAAGCCACAACGAAACAAACGACACACTTACCTATCATCCTACGGTTGCGTGTAGGGCTGCGTACGGTTGCGTGAGGCACCGTGAAGGGATGCGTGGTCATCATATGGTTGCGTGCAGGGTTGCGTACGGTTGCGTGAGGCATCGTGAATGGTTGTGTAGTCATCATGCGGTTGTTGGGTTAGAGTTAGGGGTAGGGTTAGGGGTAGGGTTAGGGTTAGGGGTAGGGTTAGGGTTAGGGGTAGGGTTGGGGGTAGGGTTAGGGTTAGATGTGAAAATTTTGACGTAGGATTTCGAAATACTGGCCGACAATCAGATGTTTGTGGGAGTGGCGCCACTGAAACTGCCAATAGCGTGCGGCTGGTGCCCCCAATCGTTGGCGAATTGTGCGTTTGACCAGCATCCGGAGGCCCTCGATTGTTTGTGTGTGTGTATGAGACTGTGCGCGATTATAGGGAAATCCGGCGTCAAAATTGTCAAATCTAACGCTAAACCTAACCCTACCGCTAACCCTAATCCTAATCCTACTCCCTAACCCTAACCCCTACCCCTAACCACGCAAATTTATCGATCATTAAAGTATACAAATCGGCAAAAACCAACAAACAAAACACACCCAAAAAAACCCCAGATCTGGGGGAAACAACCAAGCATTGGCATCCCTGATGTCGACGTTACTGTCTTCTTTGTTTCGTTGGCTTTTCCGATCACTGTTGGGAGTGCGGCCAAGGGAGAGAACTGAGTAAGTCGTCCAATGCTTTATATTCTTCGTCCGGATTTGCCAGTAGAGCCAGACTTTCTTTTAATGTTCTTTATTTTCTCCAGGCACTGATTGTCGAGTGCATTTCGAATGATTTTATGTGTTGCCAACGTTCACTGTCATTTGTTAGAACTATAACACAACTGTATCTGTATGTCGTTTATGTATTTGCTTGACAGTAAAACAGGTTTATTTTATCTGGACATGTTAGGACAGTGAAGATGTCGGCGGCTGCCCAAAAACACGTCAAGAGTCTAGCGGCGTTGCCAGAGGCACAACGCGATACCCTCCTCGTATGCGGCGGCGAGCGGACAGCAAGAAGAAACAATCTCTGGTTAGGTCGACTACTCGAGATCGAGGTCGAAAACGGCAAAAGTGCTCCGACTGGAAGTCTCTGCATAAAGCCAAAGCAAATTCAGTCACATGTACCAACAGTGTCATCGATCTCTCTGTAGAAGATGCTTTTGAGATCATCCCGGAAGGCAGCGGGAAGCTACAAATGCAGGCGCACGAAGGCTTTGAAGAAAATACATCGCCGATGGACATAACATCAGAAGTGGAAGCGCAGGGTTCACCGTCCTCACGGTTCTATTCAGATGAGTACATCGATTATTTATCGGAGAGCATGTCCAGTCAATGGGAGCATTTGTCGATAGTTCATGAATGCGTTGAAGACGTACACAGAAGCTTTTCCTCAGCGGAATAAAACTTGCAAGACCTACTTTCTTATTTCTCTCGTCTGGCTCCTCCCTTTTTCCTTTTTCACATGATAGTTGAACCACTTGAGTACCAACCAATTTATCAGGAGTCTAATGATTTCTCTGTGCATTTTATATTCTTCTGATACATGTAACATAAAAATGACTCTTTCTCTAAGCTTTCAAGCCTTAAGATCAATTGGACACACCGGCCGCCTTTACTTCCCATGACTTTACCTCTTTAACCTATTTAAGGCTAAGTCGACCTGGAAGCCAAGGTCATTAAGAAAAAGGCTGACTGACTGACTTTCTACCCCACCAGGACATCACACAAGCGATAAACACCCGATGACACAATGCGCCACCATGACGTTGAGGATCACTTTGGAGTGGTCCCAGAAACCGCGTTCAACTTTTAGGCCATATTTATGGCCGGGCTATATTGCGGCCTGATGGCAAGAGCCAGAGTAGGACTTCAAATAACGAAAAATTTCATCCTAAAAAGGACGAGAAGTAATTGTATTAGGAAAAAAAAGTCTGGCTCAGTTCTGTCGAAAGCCTGTGTATTCTTATGGTCTGGATTTAATTGGGGATGTGCCTAGCAAAACATAGCAGTTTTTTAGATATCCTGGTCAAAATTTTCTGCCCGCACTGAAACCGAAATACACATTTGACCCTCCCCCATCTTCTTTCCTGGAACGGAATACATTTAGGATAAGGGGGGAAATGCTACAGGGGAGGTAATTTATTGGAAGAATACGTTTTTAATATGGAAAATACGCTACAGGGGACGTAATTTAATGGAATAACCAAACGAGAAGCATTTCCTAAAGTGCCACGGAGAACGTTCAGGGACTGCATATCTAAAATGTTGTAGCTGAAGATGTAGATGTAACTACGTCGGTTGATGGAGTGAAAAACCGACATCAGACCAACCGGGACATTCTCATGATTTCCCGCCCCTTTAATTTAACCCCGTTCCTATGGGGGACGCAGTTTTTTTTTTTTTAAGCGCCACCCGGCTGTCGTCGTCGGTCCTAAAGAAAAGCTACGGGTTGAACACGGTTTCTCTCTATCATCTCCGTCCCCATGTAGGACGAACTTGTGGTTATTTTGAAGCCTCACCCTGGTTGTCGCCACGGGCCCTAATGTAACTCAACTTATGGGTTGCACCGTTTTTCTGGGACCTCTTCACGGGAGATCCACATCCGAATGGTGACACTTCGTGTCCAGTGTTATGTTTTGGTAGGGTTGAGCTTCAGTCAGTCAGAATGGGGTTTCTAAGACTTGCCCCGCGCGTGAGTGGTGGCACTTTGTGTCACCGGGAGTTTTATCGCTCGTCGTGCGGTTCTGGTGGGGTTTAGCATCAGTCAGTCAGTCATTCAGTCAGTCAGTCAGTCAGTCAGTCAGTCTGTCTGTCAGTCAGTCTTTATTGCCCCGTCTCCTTCAACATCCAGGGCAGAGGTCCAGTAGCAGTGGTTATGGCGGCTATCTGTACTCTTGATTACGCATCCGTCTTGCCTCTACTCTGAGCGTGGAATGTCTGTCAGATCCTAAAGGGAGGATTGACTTCATTGCACTGAGTCAAGCTCTTACCGTACAGATAAATAATGTTGTTGATGTCTTGACTTGTGATGTAGCCAGCAGACAAAAACATACAGCTATACTCATATGAGCACGTACACATGCATACGCATGCTCCTCCCCCTTTCTCTCTCTCTCTCCACACACACATACACAAGTGCGGACCTTCACACGGTAACGGATGTTTACCGGGCCCCCTTATCTCGCTCACACATATATCATACATGTAAACACACTTATGCAAACGCATCTACACAGTACTTTGGTTTGTTGTACACAAACCACGGGCAGTCTGGCAACTGAATCCAAACACTGAGGAGATCTGACGGGTAGAGGGCGGCTTGATCTAGATCGTGCATGCCACAAATATGTAAAATAATGCTCTAATACCGAGGAACTGAATCCAGGCAACTGTTCTTTGCTGAAGATATAAATAAATAATCCGAGGGAAAACACTTGCGGCCGGTAAAACATTATGTATATAGTGATTGGAACTCATATAATGTTAGAAGGATACACTTAACAACATAAAAATCGAAAGCTGCGGTTACCGTGCCGGTAATCCAGTCTGTCACCTCCAGATGGCGTGTGTGCGTTGCTATTGAAAAAAACCCAATGTGCTAAGATTCATGGCCAGGTAGGCACGGTAACTATAGCTTCCGAATTTTATGTTGTCTAGTGTGTCCTTTTATCTGCTTGTTTATATATACACCACTTTTGCAAAAGATAGCAGGAAACTGATATGACATTCACTGCCTTTCCACGCGGAACGAACGAACGAAGCTTCATTTCTAAAGGGTCACGAATTAGCCCTTGCAGACACTTATCTTTCACACGTCAATAATAATGTTTGTAATTATCTACAAAGCATGTAATGTTCATGTATCCAAACAAATAGTATAAGTGTGGGGTGGAAATACAAAAGCGTGGATAAGTTTAGCGAAATGAAGTATTATAGATTAACAACATTAGAAAGTGCATTCAGATTTTCCTCAAATCCAGAGATCCCGTTCCTGGGGGCTAGGCCCTTTGAACCAGGGCACCCTCTTCCACTATAAAATGTATGAGGGTGGGTAGGAGAACACGGAACTCCTCCAACCAATGTTTTCTTTGTGTCGCGTCCAAGCTGACATGTATGTTCAACACTTAACTGAGGAAGAAGGGTTCTTTTCTTTTAAGCGACCACTTCACGCGAGATTTAGGAAATCCCATTGTGTGTGTGTGTGTGTGTGTGTGTGTGTGTGTGGGGGGGGGGGGGTTGGATTTAGGATTAGTAGTAGTAGCTATTTATTTAACACTAACTCCCCTATACTCTTGGATTTCCCCAAATCTCGCGTTATGTTGTTTCTTTGGAAAAAAAAAAAAAAAAAACGAAGGAAAAAAAAAAATTATTGACTTGCTCCAGTGGAAGTTGGGGAAGCGGTGGCTAGCAAATATGTTTGCCCTACAACCGGTGATCAAAGTTCGAATCCCGATCAAGTCGGATTTCAGCATTGACGGGGGCTGACACGGCGACCTAGCGCTACATTTATATTAGGAAACGTTTTGGAAAACAAAAGCGACCGGCCAAATAAATCACCATATGGATAATCTGGCTCTTATAGGCTTTTCAAGAACAGCGTGATGTCTATTGGGCACTAGTGTAAAACACGCGCGCACACATATAGGCGCTCTCGCACACAAATATCTAGTTATGCTGGTGACAGTGTATATCACTTTTATTTCTGTCTGTGTCAATGGAAAGGGGTGGGAAGGAGAAGAGGAGGCCAAGGATACCTTCCACACCAGTGACGTAACGGGCAAATGATGCTAGATCGATATTTTACCCACCACTCGCACCAATCGAGTGGGATGTTGTCAAATATGATGATTGGTGTCTCTACCTGCCATAACATTATCTGGTACTCTGTTTAGGCCCGGCTGACCTGAAAGAGCAATTGAAGAAAATAGTGATAGGGAAACTGGTGAAATATTTTTTAAAAATGTCTAATTGTTGGTACTTTTTGTATTACTATATATAGTTTATATTGCTAATGGAAATACTGAAGATAATCCATGTCGCAGTCTTTATCAATGAATTTTCACAAGAAAAATAAATAAAGTAATTATTAATAATAAAACAATTTTTTTGCAGTTTGCTATATATTTTAATTTAGCGCCTTGTGTGGTATACAAAGGAAGATTTTCAGACGTCTTAGCGATATAGTGCTAGACCTTAATTGTATAACCTTATACGCACTCAGAGCGTGATGTGGTCAACATCCTTTGCCTCTCAGAACTTCACCAAGTACCCTCTTAAAATTGAGTCGACCTGGGAGCCATACAAAACTAAAACAATCCGATTCCGTTCGGACTCACACCCACGACTATCAGAGCTTCTAGCCGCTACACAACAGGGGTTCTCTGGGTGGTATATGCTGGTGTTTTTTTTTTACGGCGTGGGGGGGGGGGGGGGGGGAGCGGGGGGAGGTGGGTAAGTGTGTGACTGATGGTTTAAAAAAAAAAAAAACAGCGTAATCAAAATGTCTTGAAAGAAATGCAATTTTTGCCTTCTGTTCTGTTTGTCTCTGTGATTCAGTTTCCATCTGATGTTATCAATTTGCCTAGAAACTTAACCTGCTGTACTTGTCCTAAATTACCGTCTATGACTTTTATCACACATTTAGGCCAAATTCTTGTCTTTGATATTATAACTAATCCTGTCTTCCGATAATTCAAACTCAGGCCCATTTGATCACTTGCTGCCATCACCGTATCTATCAGTTCCCGTAGTTCTTTCTGACATGTTACTGTCAAGAAGGTCTTTGGCAATGCTGTTAGACAAAAAACATATTCAGCATTTTATTGCCTGATCACGAGTGAGAAAGTTGATCATTCCTGGGTAGCTAAATAGGCTAGATTTGACATAGCTGTAGATAACAGGCCTATGGTTCACGCTAATTTTCTTACTGACCTGAGATAGATAGATAGATAGATAGATAGATAGATAGATAGATAGATAGATAGACAGACAGACAGACAGACAGACAGACAGACAGACAGACAGACAGACAGACAGACAGACAGACAGACAGACAGACAGACAGACAGACAGACAGACAGACAGACAGACAGACAGACAGACAGACAGACAGACAGACAGACAGACAGACAGACAGACAGACAGATAGATAGACAGATAGATAGATAGATAGATAGATACATAGATAGATGGATGGATGGATGGATGGATGGATGGATGGATGGATGGATGGATGGATGGATGGATGGATGGATGGATGGATGGATGGATGGATGGATAGATGGATAGATAGATAGATAGATAGATAGATAGATAGATAGATAGATAGATAGATAGATAGACAGACAGACAGACAGACAGACAGACAGACAGACAGACAGACAGACAGACAGACAGACAGAC